AATGCTATTCAATTATATCAATATTTAATACTAGCATTGCACGTGGCTCCGCCCGCGTTCAGATGACTAAAAACTAAATACTTATCATTTTACATATTAGTATACTCTTACGTTGTAGTTTTTTATTTTTTCTCAGAAATGAGACATTTTCCCACGGTAAAAAGTATCATATATATTGACCCGGATAACCAGCTATCACCATACCAAACTTTATCAAAATCCTTCCAGTGGTTTTTCTGTGATGCGGTAACAAACAGACAGACAGACAGACAAAAATTCTAAAAACTATAGATTCGCCCTATGCATCGATAATAATGTTTATTTCAATAAGATTCTCCAAAAAATATTTAATGTACAGATTCGGCTTAGTTACAATTTTATTATATGAATAGATTATAAAGAGGCAGGGTTTGTTTGTTTGTTTGTTTAACGCGCTAAACTCCGATTTGAAAAATTCTTTTTGCATTAGATAGCCCGTTTATTGAAGAAGGCTACAGGGTATATATCATATAGTATATAGTCTATTTATTCCATACTAACCGTCAAAACTACCTAGAGACAAACCCGAGCGAAGCGAAGGGGGGGTAGAGACGCTAGTTAATAATAAAGATAATATTTTTCATACATGGCTATCTAAAATCTAGCAATGAGCCACGCTGCTTATTCCAAAGGGTCGTCTGTCTTTTTCACAGATGAGACATGGGGAAAACCTACATCAGGAAAGCGAATATTAAAGACACAGAGTGTGTCACCCATAAAGATTTCTAGTATGATATACAAATAAATCACCACACTCTGTAATTTGTAAGCCACATAATTTTAAATGATAATTAGTCAAGGTAATGTATATGAGTCGCATTGCCTGCTATGTCGGAGTTCGCGAGATTAGCTTCTGTTCGGTTAGGTTAGGCACTGTTTTACAGAATACATTGATTTAATTACAATTTACAGCTAAATTATTAAAGCTATATATATATATATATATATATATATATATATATATATATATATATATATATAGATACTGAAACATAATAATTCCTAACACTTTTTGTGTCTTTTCTGCGATATCTTCGCCAATAGTGAACCGATTTTTATCATTCCTTTATTTAATGAATAGGTTATCTCTATTAATATCTCAAAGGTGTTCTCTTATAATATAATCTAATCCGCCTAACTAAGTGTGAAATGTTTACTTATAAAGTTGATTGTTGCTGGTTTTTGAAGTTTGTAAGCCTTTTAAGTAAAAAAAATACGCTCTCAAATTGTTTGTGGCCACAAAAAGCTATGGTTAGGCATTAGAGACTAAATAAAAAAATATAAGCGAGCTGTAGGTATAAGCTAGTGTGTATGCAGTTTATTATATAATAAATATATTTGCTCTGCCAACTTATTACTTATCTATTAACGTTAATGAGTATTGCCTAACGGCTATATTGAACTATGTATGTACGAGTATGTGACATTTACGCAAATATTAATGTTTATTTAAACATTTGAAATTAAATTTATATCCAGCCTAGTAATTTACCCTTTTATGCTAACGTGCGTTAAAAGTCAAGGGCAATTTTAAAATGGCGATGTATCTTAATTATGTTACTTTTTAAGTAGGATTGAGAAAGTGGCAATGTATAAACGAGCTATCCCAAGGGATTCCTATTTCTTTTCCATAAGAAAAGGTTAGTTTTGCTTGAATTTTCTATGTACCAACAAAATTCCTTTTAAAATTAATTTGACCGTTTTAGAGATCAAATAGTTCATTCATCAGGCAAACAAACACGTGTACATAAGCTCAAAAGAGGTTTATATGTTTAAGTCATAGAAAACATAATGCGTAATTAAGAAAACACCGAAAACCCACTATGTGCAAATATATATGTAAAAAATTCTCTATTTAGATTTCAAATGTCCACAGATTTTGTACAAAAGCCCGTACACGAGTGTTGGGTGACCTGCAAACGGGGTAGAAGCTTTAAGAAGAGCGCGTATGGAGCGGCATGTGACCTACAAAACATAATAAAGTAATACCGATGTATTTTCAAATTTTACTCATAATAATTTTATGTGTTATTTTAATACCTTATATCCTACTAATATTATAAACGCGAAAGTTTGTAAGAATGTATATATGGTATTTGTTGCTCTTTCACGCCAGAACGGCTGAACGGATCTGGATGAAATTTGGCACTGAGATAGATAATAGTCTGGAATAACACATAAGCTACTTTTTATCTCGGAAAAATATACGGTTCCCGAGGGATAGATTTGTTTTTGTTGTTCTAGAGGCGAACCCGAGCGAAGCGAGGGTGACCCGCTAGTCTTTCGAATATTTTATTGTAAACCTCATACGTGACTCAGGAATTTTCAAAATAGTGAACTCAACCCAAACAAAATATCAAATATTTAATTAAATTTGTATTCACATTTATTAATGCTTATTTAGTTACGAAGTAAGTGGAAAAAGTAATAAATTCTATTAGTTCCCGGCTCTATGCTCCGGTTTAATCCTTATTCATTCCTCCTTCAAAAATCCAATAAAGTAAAATACTTATCTGACACTTTTCCGAGGCCATTAGTGCAGAGAGGATTTACCTTCATCACGGTTTAGTAAATATACTTGGTTTCACTTAAATATTTAATAGTCCAGTGGTAGTAGACCGGCTCATTAAGTTTAGATAAGTGGCTTCAAATTTAGGATAAATATTAGTTCCTTGGGTCAGCAGCACTCAGTAGTGTCCGGCAATCCAGCCGAGCACTAAACCAAGAAACGCACAGGAAGATGGCCCACTTTGGTGGGCGGTGGGAGGTGGCCCTCTTCTGGGGTGGTGTACCATGCGGGTTGCTCCTGGTACTTCTCTGATAGCAGAGTGGACCTTAGAGCAACCCCATGGTTGTTGTGATCTGCATCGGCAGACCTGGCGTCGGGCGTCATAGTTGAATGCGTAAGCGATCCTGCGACGCCCCATTAAGACGGGGGAAGGTTTTGTTGGATTTTAGTGGGTAGTACTGGCTTTGCTGGTGAGTCCCACACCTCGTGCGTAAACGCATTTCCCAACGTTAAAAAAACAAAGTAAATATTAGTTCAGAATACTATTTTAATATAAAAACATTCTACATCTTAAATTAAAAGGGCACGCTTTAACCATGCTTAAGAATAGATGTCAAGACAGTTGTAAACGCACGACATGCCACGATAACAATTGTAATGGTAAATTGCCATGACCGGAAAAGAGAAGGAATATTTTCAAGAATTGAAATTACTAAAACATTTTTGAATTGTCATTAACTAAAATAAATTACCTAGAGGCAGTGAACCAAGTGATACATGCTTTTTTGGGTAACAAAATGAAGCGGGTTCAAATCGGGTCTCGCACCTCTGATATTTTCATGTTTGAATTATTTTAAACATGATTGACTATTTGCATTACGGTAAGCAAAAACATTGTGAGGAAACCTGCATATCTAAGAGAACTTATCAAGTTTTCGAAAGACATGTGAAATTCGCCAACATTCACTTGGACAGCGTGGTGGATTGCCTGATCCCCTTCGCATTAAAGGAAGGCGCAAGCCCAGCAGTAGGACATCAAAAGGGTTGAATATAATAACTAAAATATTCTTTGTTTATATATAATGGGTTGTAGAGTATTTAATTGAGAAGAAAAATGTAAAAGTGATAGTATTAGTGTGTGAACTAAGTAACTGAATTAAGCGGTTATTCTTAGTGACCTAAGCGTGTATATGATTTGCTGAAATTGACTCCGTGTGTGTGTATGTATATGTATGTAATGGTATTAAAAAAAATTATAGGTCAAGTGAACCGCTTTAATTTTCATCCACGAAATCTAGCTTGTAAGTTGTAACAATATTTCTAGCGTCCCTAGGTAGCTTTTTACAATAGACTAAGATCATAGAAACCCTTTATTATTAAAATTGTAACTAAGTCGAATCTGTACATTAAATATTTTTTGGAAAATCTTATTGAAATAGACATTATTACAGAGTCCGAATCTATAGAATTTTGTCTGTCTGTCTGTCTGTCTGTCTGTTACCGCATCACGAGAAAACCTCTGGACAGATTTTGATGAAATTTGGTATGATGATAGCTGGTTATCAGGGTCAACATATAGAATACTCTTTACCGCGGGAAAATATCTCATTTCTGAGAAAAAATACAAAAACTGCATTGTGAGAGTATACTAATATGTAAAACTTAAGAATTTGGTTTTTGGTCATCTGAACGCGGGCGGAGCCGCGGGCAATGATAGTAATCTCTATGTAGAACCATCTTACCTTTGTTATGTCACTGTGTAAAAGAATAAGCTAGTAATCACTGTAGCATTTTTAATATTTCATTAAAATTTTCTTAAACGTACGCTAAGACCGTTACTTACAGAAAATAATAGAAAAAGGAAAACTTAAAAAAGTAAACGGTTATATTTATGTTGTGTTGAATAATTGAGTTAGATATAAAAGTTAAAATGTTTTTTTTTTGACAAAATCTAAAAGTGTTCTGTAAATCACGATATTCTTCATCTTATTTTAATAAAAGAATATACAGTATTAATAGTATATTTTTTAGTAAAATAAGATTTTCTAAATAAAAAGATAAAGTAAAAATATTTTTTATTGTAAAAATATAATATGTGAACAATAACTTACAATATAGTACTTATTGCTCGAGATCACAGCTCATAATTATTAGAAACAATTAATATCTAATAAATTACTTATTATTAGCTAAATATAAAAACTAAAAATATGGTAACGTGTGTATATCCACCATTTTATGAAATTGTTTTTTAAATATTATTTTTTTTTAATTTAAATCATATCAGTATGGCAATAACACTCTATACAGTATTTATAATTTACATTAAAAAAAATTAACTATGTATTTTAAAGACAAAATAACACACATTTTAGTATAATCAACAAGATCAAAAGCGTAATTGATAAATTTTGCAACAATTTATTTGTTGAATGTCTTTAAATGTCCTTTAATGTCTGTCCAAAAACCCAGCACTTTTTACAATATCATAAATTCTTTGCCTTGGTATTTTTTCAGCCTCACGTTCTACAACTCTCATTTCTTTCTTAGCAAACCAGGATTCCCTGGCTAGGCCCGCTGCGATCGCAGGGTTGCCATAGAAGGCGTTGGATTTTAATAATTCAGGTGGCAATAATGCTTCGCTCGCTGCGTTTTGTTCTACCGCGGGGTGGGCGTGAACTACTGGTGCACTTTGTACGTATTCAATTCCCGGTAGCGCGTAAGGTTGCGTGAAGATAAAGGTAGGTCGAGCCTGTGTGAAGGCGAAGATAGACACTAAGATGATTAAGTACTGCATGGTGGTCTGTAATTTGTAATATAAAACATTATTTTTTTCATTAATTCTATTATATATTTTTAATATTATCTATACATATAATAAAATTCTGAGTCAAATCTGTACATTAAATATTTTTTGGAAAATCTTATTGAAATAAACATTATTATCAATACAGAGGCCGAATCTATAGTTTTTAGAATTTTTGTCTATCTGTCTGTTACCGCATCACAGAAAAACTACTGGACGGATTTCGATAAAGTTTGGTATGGTCATAGCTGATAATTATCCGGGTCAACATATAGGATACTTTTTAGCGCGGAAAAATATCTCATTTCTGAGAAAAAATACAAAAACTATAATTAAGAGTATACTAATATGTAAAACCTAAGAATTTGGTTTTTGGTCATCTGAACGCGGGCGGAGCCGCGGGTAATGCTAGTGTTATTATAAATTTGAAAACGTGCAAAGATGTTGAAAGAACGCGGAAAGATGATATGAAGTTGATAGAGTTCAATTGAAAAATCTACGAGAAAATATATTAATTATCTATAAAATAAATAATGATAAATTAAACACTGAACGATCTGGGATAATTAAGTTAATAACAAATAAAAAATTAAGAACTGGATAAATCTTATTTTACTAATAATACAAAAAAAAATATTTCTAATTTTAGAAAAAAACATAAATTATTTACCAAAAAAATATAAAAAAAAAAGTTAAAAAAAGCCAAAGAGAAGAGAGCGGTCGAAGTCTTAGTACTTTTTTTTGGATCTGGTTTTTTCCCATCCGCTCAAAGCGTGTTCGTTCCAAAACTGTATGCATTACACTAATACATATGATATTTCTAACAACAATTTAGTTCTGAACTTATCAATACATGGCGCTTTCTAAATTAAAAGGGAATTACCTTTTTTACTTAATGGCTACGATGATATTATGATTTTACTCGTTAATATCCTGGCTTAATGGTAGTGTTTCATCGATATACATTTTAAATGTACGTAATATGTGAAGCAATAATTTTAAAGGTTTGTTTGTATTTCTCTCAGGTAGGTATGTCTCTCTGCATACATACTCAAGGCTTTGTTTTCACTTACGTGTTTAAATGATAATAATATCATGATTGGCATTAAGTAGGTACCTACTAATATACTTTTTTTATTTTTACTATTATGCAATTAAAATAAAATTTAAAAATTTTATTTCATTATTTTAAAATTAACTAAAATAAGGTATATATTAAAACATATAAAATTAATGAAAAAAAATCAATGAAATTATTTACAATTGAATTCTATGAAAAAAATATATATTATTTTCAATATAAATACCAGTGCCAGCAAAACTCAAGCCTAAAATGCATAAAATCCAACAATAACGCAAAACAAGAACACATAAAAATATCGGTTTATTTAATTTTAAATTATTAATTTTATATTTATAAATCTTTTTTTGTCTAAAATTTATCACATTAATAAGGCTTTTCACACACTTTTTTATTCGTCCTATTTAATCAAAATATTCCAGATTACACATTCAAAACATTTACATCTCAACAAACTATTTAAAAATATGTAAACCGAACTTACTTCACAAGTCACAGTCAAGACAGTCACTATATGCGCGGGCGCAGTGACGCTGGTATATAAACCTTTTACAAGCAACCTTCTGCCTACTTCCGTAACGTAGGTACATCGTTTATAGTTATATAGATATTTTTATAGTATTATATAGAATATCTAAAGCATGGACAGTGATTAATTTTATAGAGGCCAATGGACCTGTTTTAATAGATTTATGTATTTAATAAAAAAGTCAGCAGTCGTGCAATTTTTTGTTCTGAGAGTGTTATCATAATAGTATCCATATATTATAATCTCTCAAGGTTCTTAAACCAAACCTGAAACCAAGATAAAACATAATTAAAAATTCTTAAAATAACGTGAACATCGAATCAAACCTAAACATAATAGCCAGGTATCGTAATCGTAGCAGGTAGTTCCACCATTAAGCGATCAATGGCAAGTTGAGATTCGATTCTCAAAATATTATTCCTCTAGCTTTCCATTTTTAAAGACATTACGCTTTCATCATAAGATCTTTAAAAGAGACATTTACTCGACTGAAGTTTTAAGCAAAATGCTTATGTAAATAAGTAATTAATTTACATAACTTAATTGATCCCATTATATGTATAATTATGAAAACGAAAAGTAAAGAAATGTCATTGCAATATTTTTTTAAGTAAAATTATAATTTAAGCTTGGATTTGTGGATATTATGACTTTATTTTACAATTTATACCATTTTTTTTAAACTGTTTTTTTTTATAATTGTAGGTAATAAACATAAAATTTCACACGTCGTTATAATTATTTGAACCTTTAAAATAATTATAAGGACGAAGAAGTTTGTTGGTTCATTATTTACGAAGTAACAAAGGACTGGGTAAGTATTTGCTTAGAGATTAATGGGCTTGACAGTAATATAGGCTTAATAAATTACGTTTATTTTCGTACTTAAGAAAATCTCTTAAAGTAAATTTACTTTCGATGTACCTGAGGGAAAAAATACAACTCCCCGTCACAGATTGTTTATAAAATAATGAAATAAAAAATAAGAATGGCCATATAATAGTAGAATTTAAATATAAATCAATAAACGATCTCAATATAAGTACGACAAAGTTCAAGCGGTTGTTTGCCTTGCGCGCTGTCTCATTGATCAAAGGTTCTAGCCAGAGGCTTGGATAGCTTCCGCCGCGTCACTTCCTAGTTCCGAACGCTATTAATATTAAACGATATTTCTAGATCAAATGTATGGATTAAATTCAAGGAGATTTTATAATTACTAATAAAGTATACGATATCGAATGTCATGATCGATTTATAATTTATAAGAATGGTTTGTATTTAAATGAAGTAGTAAGAAATGTTCAAACCAATAATAGAATCGTTATGTTCTGTAAAAATTGCCGTATAATATTTTTTTATTTACTCAACATAGTCCAATTATTTTGTGGTCTCTCCCTCTAATCCGAATAGCAGCCAAAGTTTTCTGTCAAAACCAAACCGCTTGTATGTTTTAGTTGAGCATCACTTATAAACGGTTGGCCGAACTTCAATGGGACTTTTTACTGTACCTATAACAAAAGTTTTATTTCAAACCAATTCATTAACTAGAACCTATGATATACCAAGAAATCCAATGCAGATAATTTATCTATAAAAATATCTCTAATATTATAAACTGTATTACCCGTAGGCTATTTTATCGACTACCAGAATACTAATGACATGAGAAATACCAGAAAAAGCAGGGAAATGCTACAGTTTTTTTCAAGTATTCAAAATTAATTAAATTGTATATCTAACTAAAATTGTTAATAGAAAATTACCGTTTTGTGAATTCTGTAACCGTTTCTACAATAATTAAAATATTATTGTTTTGTGTCACAAGTTTTTTTATAATTAAAAATCGATTTCCATCTCGTTATTAAGAGTATCGATTTCGGCGTCTTTCATTAAAACAATTACAGGGCTAATTTATAACTGCGTAATTAGATAATGTGCAATCATGATACAGAACATTAAGTATATCGAGGTCACGGACGGCTTTGTCACTCGATGTGGTGACTTTAGCCATTCGTTATGCTTTCAAGACTATAAGGTAATGAAATTCGATTCTTAACAAATAAAAATTATATATGGGCTAATTTAATACAACATTAAACTAACAAGACATAATATGCTATAGGAATATAAAAACAATTTACTGCGCTCATGAAACCTCATGAGTGGTAAAAGTTGTTTCTAATTAAAATCATACTTTAAAATTATTTTATAATATTTTTACAGTACTACTCAGTGACGTCGCTCGAAAATACAGTAAGCTTAAATGAATGTAGGTTGACCACATCTGCCCTATGTCTGCAGAACTATTGCCCAAAGTTCCACTCAAGTGGAGCTCTGAAACAGAGAAGCGCCGTATTCATTGAAATTAGATAAATTCCATCCAAATTGGTCTGTACTTGCACAAGACCTCAAAATCTGGAACATAGATGGGAGGCCTTTGCACAGCAGTTAGATTCTTTAGCGATAATTATTGAGATTTTATAAAACTTTCTTAGATTTACACAAATATTTGACATTTTAGAAAAACTATCTTTTCGGATTTCAGCCACGGGAGAAACCATGATTGCTGTAAGGGTTTTTAAACGTCGGGAATTAAAGTCAAAATTAATCCACAAAAAATCCAAAAAGATCGTTTTATTTTTTTAAGTTTTAATATGTTGGGACATTAACACCCAGCACCATTTAGTTTCAACGTAAGCTATAAGGCTTGTGATAACACAAGCCTCGTAGCTTACCATGGAACTAAATAATAAGTATAAATAAATGGAAATATCCATAAGGATACCAGATAGTTGGCACACTACACTTATATAACTTTAAATACATACATATTATAAATATAACCTATGACTAGAGTACAAGCATTCGTGCTTATCACACAAATAAATGCCCTCAGCGGGACTAGAACCCGCGATCGCTGCACAGCACTACAACCTAAGCCAAACGTATCGTTGAAAGTATTTGAAACTTTATGTTTTACTTTACTTTATGTACTTTACTTTATGTTGATTAGTTGTTTTTTTTTTTTTTATAGATCTCTATTTTGACGCAATGTCAGCCTAAATAGAATATATAGTGTAATATGTTACTAACATAATCTAGATGTAACTAAAATTACACAATGCACATTACGTACTATTATAGTCAAAGTCATGATACGTTTCTTTTACAAGCTAAATACGTGATGAGTAAATAAATTGTATGAGGGAAGAACAAAATGCAGGTCAAATTATTGCAAAATAACTTTTGTAGCTTCATTTAAATATCTTTATCTCATATTGTTTAACTGCGCAGTAATATTTTTGAGACAAATTAAAAATTTCATATAAATTATACGTAGAGCTATAGACTCTCCTTATGGGAACGTAAAACCCGGAGTTTTACTGCTACAGATTTTTTTTAGACACAAGATTCCATAAACAGTTTATGCCTGACCTAGGACTCAAACTCTGGTCAGTGACCATGTAAGAAAAATAATAAATGCTTAACAAATATATTAAATATATAAAATTACCTACCTATTCACCAAACGGATAAAATCGCAGTCAAAAAATATTTTATACAAAACTTTAAGTCCTTTAGATGGCACCATATTGAATTTAGGATGACATCGTGTAGGCTACAAATAGCAGACTGATTGTTCGACCACGTTTCTATCGATACGTCAGTTGTCAAATTATGATAATAAGTTTAGAAGATATGCGGGAACAGATGTACGCCTTGCTGAATCCATAACCTATAGTCGTGTAAAAGAAGCAAGTATATCGACATTCAACAGTAATACTAATGCAGTATATATAATTTATGATTAAATTAATTAAAAACGTCTGATATTAGCCAGGCTCACCTTATTTTATCTAACCCACGCTTGAACTTTTCATTATTCCATTATAAAATCCTTGTAAAAACAACGAATTTATTAAATATTCATTACTTTTGTTATTTTATTCAACCCACACTACAACGCCCACATTTGTTATATACATGGCTAAAGATGAAATTAAGTTATAATTTCAAGCATTTTTTTCAATATTAATGTAAGTTTTAGAAGAGAAGTTTTTAAAATTACATTTTATTCAAAAAGTAGGTAATTGCTAGTAATATTACTTGTATTCTAGTAATATTCTGATTACTAATATAATTGCGAAAGTTTGTGTGTATGTTTGTTACTTCTGCACGCTGAAACAGATGAACTGATATATAATTATGAAGTTTAATATATGAATAATTATTTTGTAATCATAACTTTTTTTGTCAAATATTTTGTTTTATGTATTTTTGATATTTGAAAATCTATTATTTTTCGTTTTATTAGAATTGATACAATAATTTACTTTACAATTGTAGCCTGTTGCTAGAGAGGTGGGCGTTAATAATTGCGACTCAGTTGTATAACTATTAACATTTAAACTGTTTATGTTATAATATGCTAAAATGATTTTCTTAGTAAATAAAATGTTCTTTAAAATGTTAAAAAAATATATGTAAATTCATAGATGCACCCAGTGAAACGAGGGTACATTGCTGTTATTCTACAAAGCCTAAAAACATTATCAACCGACTTCAAAAAGGAGGAGGTTCTCAATTCGACTGTATTTTTTTTTATGTTTGTTACCTCAGAACTCCGTCATTTATTAACCGATTTGGACAATGTTTGTGTTGTTTGAAAGGGTATACTTCCATATTGGTCCCATTTAAATTTCAAAAAAAAAAATACCACCCCTAAGGGTGGAAACATAGCTAATGATGAATTTACCTACTTCTAATTGTCATATTTACTTGAAACTTGAAAGTGTTTCTACTTCCGTTGATAGTAGCCAAAGCACACCGACTTCGAAAATATTTGATTAGGTATGTATAGTAAATGAAAACTACCAATCAGTTATTTTTTACTTTTTAGTGCTTTTGTTTAAAGTCGGTTTTTTTTTAAGTTTTTATTTTATTACCTCTACTTATTATAAAGAACGTGATTTATATACCAAAAATATAATACTTAGGTAATGTAGATATAAAACATTAACCAAGAAAAAAATGTAGA